TACAGGTGAAGATGCAGCTAAAGTTTTTTATAAAAAAATAAAAGATGGAGCACTTTATATTGCAAAAAATTATTTAGATGTGAAAAAACCTATGATAATAACCAAAGAACAAGAAACTGAATTTGAAAAAGAAAATAACTCTCATATATGTGAAAAATCTTTAAGTGATTTACCACCAATATTAGTGAAAAGAAATAGAATATTTAATGAAATTATTGATTATTGGCAATCTAAAATAAAAGGAAGATCAATAGTTGAGAATAAGAATGAAAAAGAAAGATTAGATTTAGAAAATATAGAATAAAAAATTGAATATTTTAAAAAACAGCTTGATGAGAAACAGAAAGAAAAACAGATGTTCATTGAAGATCTTGAGGATAATATGAAAAAAGTTATAGATCATGATCATTTAACAGGAAAATATCGAGGTGCTGCTCATTCAATATGTAATCTAAATTATAAGGTTCCTAGATTTATTCCAGTATTTTTCCACAATCTATCTGGTTATGACGCACATTTATTCATAAAAGAATTAGGTATTGATTGTAATATTATATATTTATTTATTATCTTTGAATCATATTATATTTAACTCACATCTTTGTCATCTACTTGGGTAGATGCATCTGTGCCGGTGGACTTTCCCGTTCCTGGATTAGAGAACGACTCTTGATCGAATTCAGTTTGGGCCTGGAACGACTGAAATTCCCGGTACTCGATCAACTGCAGAAACGATAGACGATTTTGTTTTATATACAATTTCAATTTCGGTTTATCGGGATTAAACCATGATATCAATCAAACAATAAGTATANTGTCGGTTTGGACATCCACGTTGTGATGACCTTTGATATATTTTGTCGCTCCGAGGTGCAATCGCAACGCTCTCGTTTGGTAGTCCATCGCTTTTTTCCGAGCCATGGCAAGCCGACGACTTTCCGCCTCGCGTGACGCGGCCGATTCTTTTTGGACATTTGGCTGTACATAAATACAATTTTGATTAATTATTATTGCAATGTGATTTTGAACCGTAATAATTCTATCGTAATAAAAAGAGTGAACTAATGTCAATTCCGCAGCGTTTCAAAAGCCAAAATATGTAGCAAGTAAAAAAAAAAAAAGTATAATAAATAAAATAAAAAGTAATAGAAATTAAAACGGCAAAACTGTAGCGCATGCGTTAAAGCAAGACGCTCACCTCGGACGATAACTGTTTAGCGTACCCAAAATACGGGTTCCATTTTGGACGCTAAATATTTCAATAGTATTATTAGATAGTTGTTTAAGTATGGTTTACATTTAAAATACAAACAGTTCGAGTTTACTAAAAGAAAATAACTTACGATAGTTTTTTTTGTGAAATTGCTGCCTCTGACTACTCGTCGGTCGTGCATAATATTTGTGTAACCCATTTGTTTGCACGTACTGTGAAAAAAAATAAATAAAAGGATTTTACAAATTATAGTGACTTTTGATCCGAATTCGATTCATCGAAAAATTGATTGAGAAATCGGCGGTG